CAGCCTGTAGGGATATACATCGATCTACATATATATATATATATATATAATGGAAATCCTCATTGAGCCGATCAATAATCGATCAGCTCAGCATGTGAAGTCATACCTGGAGTCGACCTCTTCGTACCTCAGAAAATAGGGCCCCAGTCGTGCCTGCTTTTGCATCCTTATCCAATTTTCAGGTCTGTTTGGCAGGGGCATCCAGCTGATTGCCCAAGGAGAGGAACCCAACACACACTCCATCGGCTGCACACCAACCACACCACAAATGCGCAAGTCGCTCCGCATGAAAAGCAAACTGACCGCATAGTATGATATCTACTTATGATTCTGTCAGCAACGAAAATCCTATTAGACCTTGGTGCGAAACTAGCACAAACCTGTAAGGAGCCAGATGCTTGTCCATGTGTTCCATCGGTTTTTTTCCGGATGTTTGGACAAAGAATGGGGGCTCCGTCCGACTTGTCGGCCGTCCGACCAAAGACCTCGCTCCCCGTACGACCTCGTCTTCTTGTAAGAGCGGCTGACTGCCCGGATAGCCTGGCATCCATCCCACAGCTGGTCAGGTTTCGCTGTCGACAGCATATCTGGTTGGTGTTTTCAACCCACGAAGGACAAATATATGAGTCAAAGGGTCTAATCATCCCCAGGGTTGAAAAAACACATATCCGAAACCATCACCTATATAGATATTTTTGTATGAGTGGAGACCAAGCGCGAAAAGACCTCCCTGATTCCGGGGTGTGGAGACCTGTCGAACGGATTTCTGGATCTTCCTGAGTCACAACCTTTTGCTTTGAGGATGTCCTCAAGGACGTCCCAGGGGTGAACTCCAAGAGGTCGCTGTTTGTACGATCGAAAACCCTTTTTTAAGCTCTATTTTCCATATGTCTATGCTCTGTCTATGTAAATCTGAGCAGCTTTGCGGAACTTTGGTGGGGGAGACGCCAAGTGGTACTAATTACTTAGGTTTGTTTGTTTGAGAAATCCCGCACTTGCTGAAATTGTCCGATTTGGAGGTTCCAAGCCCGACTTCAAGTTCCCCGGAAAATGGGACATGTGACATGACCCTTCAAATGCAGTTATAGTATGTTATAGCTGTACCAATACTATCTTGCACTGATTTTCCGAGGTCTTTTGAGACTCCCCAAGTCCTTGCATGCAATACATGAACTGTTTCACGCAAACAGCCTCTATGCAAAATCTTGCTCGAGCTCTTGTAAAGCCAACGACACAACAATCGAAACACATGCGGACATACGGTCAAAACCCACAAGCTAACAAGCTTAGGACTTGATGGGCACAACAAGCATCGTGTGAAGGTATATACCCTGAAACTGAAGCTTCCTTGCACTGGAAAAGACAAGGGAATGGGAAAGACACTGATACATATAACGTGTATTATAAACTATTAAACCAATATATAAACCACATCTTTGGCAATCAATCCTTGGACCAAGCTATCGCTTCACAAAAAAGGTGAACAAATGCAAACCCCACTGGTCTACTCTTTGCTGCGTTTTACCCTGTTCAAACGATGGTTCACCATGGTTCACCCCCCCAAGGGCACTCGCGGTTGGAGACCTTTCGTTCATCAACGAAAAAAGAAGCCCGCCTGGCTTCGCCGACCTGAAGCAAACGATGATGTCCGTACTTGAAAATAAAATAAGATCTTGATTCATAAACCCCCCATATATCAAGACGTTGTTCAATCCAAATGGGGTGGCTTTAGGAATCAAGAGTCTACAATAGAGGAGTCGGTGCCAGGGCCAATGTACCAATTGGTTGTACACATTCAGTATCTGCGTGGGTATCCTCCATTAATCAACCAACTCATTGCAAAGAGAATCTATGCCTCTTGGTCCGAACGTGAACCCTCCATATTGTGGCTTCGAAAGTGGGGGCATGACCCGAACTTAAAGATATTATACAGTAATACAATATTGTTACTCATTTTCCGAGCTACTGTTTTTTCGAGCCTGGACAGTTGCCAATCTTTTGGAAGCCCGGTCACTATACCCAGCGGTTCTAGTTACCTGATGAGGATGCTTTCTGGGGTGAGTATATACATACTTCCAAAGGATAGTCGAACTGGGGCTAAAGGACATGCTCATGCAGGTCCTAGTCCTAGACCCTCTCGGTAGAGTAGAGTCTATAGAATGACCTTCCTGGAAAATTGCGCACAAATCAGTCATCCGGGTCAACGATTTTTCAAAGCCCACCAAAGAATCAAGGATGCCATGTTGGCCATGTTGCTCACCAGTGGTTGGATTCACTGGGAGGGGTCTGACGAACAACTGCGGTGCTGAAGTGAATCTAAACCATCCACAAACCCAGGCTGAATCAGTCCTACCCCTCAGATTTTGCCTCTGCACCTCATAAAGCAATCAGGCAATTGCTACGGATATCACGCTTCAGGTGTTTCTTCCGATGAAGAACAACTTCTCACATCTTCCAAGGGACGAATTTTGGACCCTTCTCAAAACCACCACCACGAAACACTTAACAGAGTATGATTTGGGTAATTAACTAATATATTATCTCATTACCAGTGGATGATTATTAGTACAGGCCTGTTCTTTTTTTCCTAACATATAGTGATAATCATTGTTTACCAATTGTTGCAGGTCATAGGATAGACCCCAAAGTATTGGGAATAACACCATGAGGACGTTTGAGCCAAAAACACCAAACCGCCGACACTCGCTCCGCCCGGCTCCGAGACTCGCCTCGCCTCTTCCGTTCGGCCTTCTTGCGACGCCACGTCCTTGGAGGATGAAGCCAAGTCTCTCCCTCAGAGACGATGGCTGGTTTCAGAGCCATTTTTTCCAATGTTTTCCAATGAAAAGGGGTCCAGGAGGTGGAAGTGGACTTCCAAACGCAGGAACCAATTGGCTCAGTGTTGGGATGCACCCGCAGTCTACGTCCAAAACAGCTACAGGAGGTTGAAAGCCACCGAAGACTGTTCGTTGGGAATCCTGGCTTCTGTAAATGATGTGACCACCCTTTCTTGACCTGACAACTCAAGCAGTTCCTGCTTGAACTCAGGAACCGGTCTTTTCGGGTCTTCCCTGGTCGTGCGTCCAACTTTCAGTCCGCGAAGACAGCCCTGTCGTCCATCAACACCTCGAAGGGATTTCAGAAACGCCATCCGTTTCCAAAACAATGTGGGCCCTTGTCGGCCAATCGCTTCAGAAGAAGAAGCCATCTGGACAGATCCACTCCGCTCGCGGAAGCGCCAATCGCTCGAGGCCCTGACGGAGTGAGATCGCGTGTGACCTCAGACGCGGAGATGTGGGACCAAGCAGGAATCCTTATAAGGGGGGAACAGCAAATCGCTTCTGATTGGTGGGACATATCATTTAGCCAAATCTGAGTTGGTGGGATCAATCATCATCAAGGGTTGAACATCATATTCTGACCACTGCCAGGCTTCTGCAGGCCCACGGGTTGCCCCCGGACCTTCCGGGGCAGTCCAGAACATGTACTGCACCTTCCTCAAATGGCTGTGGGTCATGGCAACAGGATACATTGCTTGGCCTACCGACGTCAGGTCTTTCGCTCAATGCTGGACCGTGCGATTTTGACCCATCCCCAAAGATTCCATCCAGCTGTCATCTGCTTGAGGCCCCTATCAAATTGAGGTCTAATATTGATCAAAGGAAAATATCATAGTTTTATATGTGTTTCAGTTAACAAAGGCACATAAAGGTCCCTATCATGAGCAAACCCCGACCACTGAGGGTCATTTGCATTTGATTCACGTTCAAAGCTCCCGAATCTTGACAGCCAAGTGGAACGTTTCAAAGGTACCTGGAGTCAACCTGTGAAAGTATCTCAGACCGGGTTCCTAGAAGGTCAGACCTGTTTTTGGTTCGGGTCGTGTCTATAGTTCCCGATTGTTCTTTCGATTGTGGGGGAAAGAACCGAGTGGTCCCAGTCGTGGGGGTCCGGATGATGCCTGTTTAAGGTCGATCACCTCTCTTCGGTGGTGCCCCAAAAAGGCCCCATGCGAGCGAGCACCATCGAAGCCATTCCGAGGTCTTTCGTAAGCGAGGTCGGCACGAGGTCGGCTCAGCTCGTGACCGACCGACCCATAGGACATCATAGGAAGCGGGCACTGATCTTGAGAATGAGATCGCCATGTAAAAAGTTCCTTTCTCTGGAATGAGCGATACAAGCTCTGGAATGAGAGCTACTCTTGTATCTCTCATTCCAGAGCTGAGCCCGAGCGGAGTGTCCCCCACTGAGTGCCACGACTTTGCGATCCAGGACCCCACACCAAGGGCGCCAGTCGTCCCTTTGCCATGGCCAGGTGTGGAAAAGCGCAGCGCCGCTCTGTCTGCCTTTGAAAGGAGTACTGTACCTTTTTGTGGAAGACCGCCGCTAAAACAAGACTTGTGATGCCTGGCCTCTTTTTGATTAACATATTAACAGTACCCAATGTGGGTTCGCCAATACATAAACGCATTATCACAGGGGTGTCAGAAATCTTGCAACCTGAAGCAATGAAAATCTGTTTCATGCAAGGTCTTTACTGTCAGGCTGCGGGCAAAAACGGCAACAAAACATATATAAACCTGCAGTCCCTTCTCACGGGAAGGATTATATTTTGATCGGGAAGGCAAGCAAGGAGTCCTTTTCAGGAGAGGGGAAGCACTGAGATGCGCCTATTGAATGGAGGAAACACACCCAGGACCCCTCATTGAGGGAGACTGTGGAGGGTGACCAGGGTGGCCAGGATGGCCTTGCAGCACTTTTGGGAAGGACTTCTCCAGCTCCACCCACTGGATCGTCTTCACGTCAAAAAGTTGGATAAGAGTCGAGTGGATCATTTGTTCCCTCACGATCTACAACCAGAAGATCAGTCGGAATCAGTGGTCCCCAAATGTGTTCAATACCCAATACTTGGTTGACTCTTTCTCCTGCAACCTGGGACTTCACAAAACTTGTCTTCTTCACAGTGGTCAGGTGAACTCTGCCTGTCTTCTGCTCTTTTTCCTCCGTTTTCCACCTGTTCCATCCGTCATTCCCACGTTTTGTGGGATAGCCTTAGACACACTGGTCTAATGGCCATGGTAAAACCAATCCCCAAAAAGGATCAAAAAGGCTACTGTATACATGGTTATCCACTGGCCAATGACTGGTATGAAATAGATTCCACCAGCACCAGAGCTTCAGTCAGACGGGTGGAACACTTGAAGCTCGAGTCAATCGAGGGACCTGGACCCGCCTGTTGGAGAAAAGGAACAGCGGCGTTCTTTTTTAATCGTGCAGCATCCACTCCCACTGTGAGTTCTCTTGCAGGGCCTCTTTCACCTCTGCCCAGTTCTCAATGAGTTCGGACCTGAGTCAGCGACAAGCCTCGACGGGATCAGCTTGAGCGTCGACAAGAGCAAAACAAACGCTGAACGAGTTGGGTAATCAGACTCAGTTCTACCACTTTTCTGAGGTGCCTGGTCATGCGTCCCAAAATCACGGAAAGCAAATCGTGGCATGGCTGGGACAGAACTCAGGACCCACCCTGCTAAAATCATCTAAAATCATCGAACATCTGCCATCCAGGAGTTCCATGTCAGGATGGTTTTGGGTCCCTAAGTCTATGTTCTGGGCACCCCTATCCTCCAACTTTTTCTATTTAAATCAGCCACTCCTCTATGAACCCCATATCCCCCTCGGTTGACCATGCAAGTTAGTTGAGTCGACCATCCGTGGTTCCTCGGAAAATGGAGACAAGTACAAGTACCAGCACACGAGCTCACCCGTCTCCCCTAGTGGCTGTTAGAGACTTCAACAAGTCAGAGTGGTAGTAGCTACTAGTGGTAGCTGGTGATCTGGAGGGTGGAACCTGTTTTGACCGGGGTCATGTCCCATTATCCCAAGTGCTTCTTCACGAAAAGGCCCACGGCCCACGGTGTCTTCGGCCCACCCACCGCCACACTCACTCACCAGCTCGCGAGGGGCAGTCCACCGAGACGGCCAAGCCGCAAGCTACCGTTGTGAAGTTTCACCCATCCGGGCGCCTGGACGGGTCCATAGTCGAGGTGTTAAGATCGTGAGGCCGACAGGTCGAAGCAGGACGGTCAGGTGTCTGAGGTGTCGAACGGGCAGAAACTCTGTTGACCTGCTGAAAGATGTGGTAGAAAGAAGCTGCCCTGAAACGAAACAAGGCTGAATCCTTGTTTGGCTGTTTGGGTTTTGGGCTGCAATCACGCGGGCCGGAGCCGGCTGAGCTGGTCGGTGCGGCGAGGTCAGTCCCACTTGAGCAAAATCGTCGAAATACGAACTGGTTGACATTTTATCATGTCGGGATACCTAGAAGAACCAAACGACTGAAATTCCTGCCTCTTTGGGGAAGAGCGGCTCTCCCCGGGGTGAGGCGGAAATCAAGTTTTTGGCTGCAGATTTCCCCTGCTTGGCGCGAATATTTCCTCCCTGCCGCGAATATTCCCTCAGAGGATCTGAGCGGTCCGTGGTGAGACATAATGAGAGAGAGACCATTCCAACATCTCCAATATCCACTGCAATCACCAGCATTCGCCAATTCAATCCAATTCAATCCCAGCAAAGGGCCAAACACAGTGGAACACAGTGGAACACTGTCTTTTACTTGTGATGGCTAGACAATGGTGGACGATGAGGCCGGGTTCTCTCCTGGGCACTGCTTTTGCTTGCAAAGATCTCGATGGAAAGGATCATAAATGCAGTTCACCCCTTGAAATGGGAAAAGCATTTCGGATCAAGGAAAATTTACTGTATGTGTGTAGGGCTCTCCTCCACTGATGACAGAGCCACTTTTTGATGCCGAGACGATGGCCGTCTTAAGAGCTGCAGGCCTGCTTTGTGAAACATAATGTGTTCCTTGTCTCCTCTTCTCCATTTGGGATTTGGCGAGAATGGGGGGAATCCCGCAAGAGGCCTCGATCAAATGCCTTCCAAGTGGTTCGGCGAAGCCAAGCACGTCTTATGGCCGGAGAGGAGTGATGAACTTCCAGTGACTGAGTCTTGGCTTAAAACAATGTCCAATGTTCCTGAACTTGTATGAGCAGTGTTTCCCTTACATCGTCCTAGGACAAGACCACGTTATCCAAGACAGAAGCGGAATCCATCGTTGAGAACTTCAACAACCACGGCTCCATCCGCGAACTGGCCAACTTCCTTTGGGAATACCAGAAAGTGAGTCACAGGGCTGCATCTAATCCCAAACCCAAAAAGAAGTGTTCAGTCTTTTTTGACCTCCTCGACCCATACCAGCCCCAGGTGATGAACGGTACAAGCGTGCGACTGAGGGCAAGGAATGGACCAATGACGGCACCCAGCCGGAAGATTCACAGTCACAACAGTAGACATGAGTAGAGACTTCAGAGTCAGGGTACCTTTTTGTGCTGTATGAGCGGCAAAAAATCTT